TAAAACCAATCAAGCTTTCTTTACTGTTCTGTATTTTATTGCACCATTTTTAAGACACCTTTATTAGTAAATCTTAATTAAAGAAATGTCTAAAAGTTGGTTTTAAAATTTTGTAAATGGCTAATAAAAGGCCTAATTTTGTTTTGTATTTAAATAAGTTTTTTAGTTTATCAGACTGCCACAAACAGTATTTGACGTAAGACAATATTTGAATATTCATAAATAATGCAAAAGTACACAGAGATTTATAACATTTTTCAAATTCTCTAAAAGTAACAAAAGCATTAAACTTTACAGAAGCAACAGGTTTTCTAGGAGAGGTTAAAGTTGGTTTAAGGCTTAAAAGAGATGTATCAAACTTTCCAAAGAACTTACACATAGCACATGATAAATGTAATTCATGACAACCCATTTTTATTTTGTAAATTGTCTTTTAGTAATAACTTTCCACCATTTAATAAACAACATTCACTACATTTACAACTATTGAAATTGTCTTTAAAACTTTAAAATTTATAATTATAGTGTAATTAGCCTCTGTAATTTATCCTTCAAGTTTGTTTTCTACATTATGAATCTCTGCATTATCTTTTCAATTATCTTTGATTTACATTTCCTTTTTTGTTTAAAACACAGGTTCGATTAAATTTGTCTGTACTTTAATTGGTAACACGTTGGTTTCCTCTACTTTTTTTTTAATATATATGGTAAATCTTGGAATTTTTTTCAAAACAATTTTTTATACCAATTTATCATAAAAATAACTTGGAAATATAATTGAAAAGTTTACACTGCTGTTGTTACTTTACCCAACACTCTACAGTATTATACATATAAAACTTTTCTTTTTTGAAAAAGGAGTTTACAATATAACAAAAAATTACCAAAAGGCCATATAAGACTTAACAGTGTTAATTTTTTAAACTATGAATAAATGTATATTGGTTTTTGAGGTGATAATTATTAATTATCTTGAAAAAAAAGGTTACTATGGGCGTTGTTAGGTAAAAAAAAGTCTACCTTAATTGTTCCTAAGATGAATTAGACCAACTTACATACAAATTTGACAAAAGTAAGTACTCTAATTATGTTCTACAATGATTGAAATAAAAGAAAAATCACTTTTTATAAAATCTAAAAATAAATTTTAAATACGTTTTGAATTGGGGTTGACCACTAATCAAATTTAACAAGTTAAAGCCTTAACTTCAAAGTTAATAGCTTCGATTGTGTGACTTAGTTGTATAATGTACATTGCACAAAAAACAATTAAAATATTGAAAAGTCTTAAATATTGTAACTGTGCGTTGTACAGTGTGCATCATACTACTCATAATCACAAACAATTAAAACTTTAAAGTTAAGACCTAATAAAATGTTTACAAAATAAACATTTAATGTTTACAAAATAAACATTTAATGTTTTCAAAATAAACATTTTATTCCTTCATAAATTTTAACCGAAACATATGAAAAGATGTTTTGTTGATAAGTTTTTATAAATCAATTATTAAAAATTGCTCAGAAAAATTAAGGTGGCTATAAGGTATAAAATATAAATAAAATCAGAAATTCAGATGTTATAAAACATAATAGTTTGCTGTAAAAATGCAGTGATTTAGAAGAAACCTTATTAACTTTATTGGTGGGGTCGCCACAACTTGGCAAATATTGATAGGTCGAAGCATGGGAAAATGGGAATCGTTGATCTATCCATATTAGTGTTGTAAAGGTAAAATTTACCGTAACATTTTCCGATAAGTTTACCGGGAAAATTTTGAAAATTTACCGCCTGGTAAATTTTGAAATATTTTTATTAAAACCTGAGCATTTGATCTTTATAAAAGGTCAAATCCTGCCACATAGGACCTCATTTGCTTATATTGCATCGAACCATATAAATTTTTTTATTTAATGTCCTAAGATGAAAAAAATACAAGAGAACTTATATAGTTACAACATAATATACAAAGAAAATAATGTATTTCACCTACAGAGGCGATTTTACGGGTGTGTGTGTGGGGGGGGGGGGGAAGTAACCCCTCAAGGAAGAGGATTTTCAAGTTATAGTCGTTTTTTAACGAATTTAGCCGGCAGTCGGCTGTGTGACACCATTTAGTTGGTTAAATTTTCGTTTTGAGAACTTTTTTTTTTTTTTCAGAAGCTAGTCGGTACTTTTAGATTATTCACCCCCCTCAATTTATTCGTAGAATCGGCTCCGTTCACTTATATATAACTTAAATATATATACATATATATATATATATATATATATATATATATATATATATATATATATATATATATATATATATATATATATATATATATATATATATATATATATATATATATATATATATATATATATATTATATATATATATATATATATAGAATTTCGTTGACAAGTGCCATTTTGCAGCGGACAAAACAAGTGCAACTTTTTTGGTTTGTTTCATCTTCATAAGTCTGGTCCGTGTCAAGTTTTTTAATAATTA